TTATCTATCTATCTATCAGCAGCGCCTCGTACCTCACCCCTCACTGCTTCAGCACTGCTGGCATGACTTGTATCTCCTCAACATGCATACACGTTCCATCTGTGTACATAACATCAACAAAAGTAGAAACCTGCCTCCCCATACAGTACCCGCCCGTCAGCTGCATCCAATTGACCACTCTGGCTAGGCTGTCATTTTTGGACCGATCTTGTTTATACATGGATGTTGTGGGATTATTATTGCATAATCTCATAGGCGTGAGTCCTCTCGCCTGAGCCGTCGAGATGCCCAGCGCCCATAAAGTTTGATGCTGGGACAGCAGTGCTGACACGGCCTGCTTTACAATCCAGTTCTTGGAGCTCAGTGTATGCTGGTAGCCGAGACTCTGCACTGATACATGCACATGGAACATCGGGGGGAACAACATTTGCTCACAAATCGAACTCACCACGATGAGTCGGCGACGGCTGTGTGTGGCAGCTCGCGGCGCTATGTGGTGGGGCGCGTTGTATTCTCCCCTCTCAGCTCTGGTGGTGTCGAGCGTTTCACATGATATTCCATCCCTGACCAAACAAAGCGTTTTGCACGGCGCGGTCAGCCCGCAAGGAATCCTTGCACCACTTTCCACCGGGTGCGGCTCATAGGGCGGCATGACGGGCGCGGACCCTTCAAACATGCCTGCGTCGCGGGCGTCGCCTCCTGCTGTGCGGGAAAACAGAGCACATCGTGCCCAAGCTTATCATGCACGCAAGCACGCCTCTTGTCAGGCTGGTAGGCCTACCTATGCGCTGTTGACTGGCACCAGCCGCTGTGCGCACGCTGAAGCTGAGCGATGAACCGGTGTGCCCTCTCCTCCCCCCTCCTCCTCGACTGTAAGAAATCAATCGGCGGTATAAGGCAGGAGCACCTGGCGCGGTGCCCACCCCAGCCGTCCTGCCGCAACCGGCCTGGAAGTTGGCGGCCGTGCCGGCGGCCTCGTCGTCACAACCAACCGCCAAGCCGCCAAACCTCAACCGGCGGAAACATCTGCCCCTTTTGCGTCTGCTGGTCATACCCCAAGTGTTCACGGTGGGGCGGCTGGAAAGCGGCGGCCCTGCGTGGCCCTCCTGCTGGTGGGAGCCTCCCCGACGCCCACGGCTTTGGTGATCTCCGCCTGCACTGTGCCGTGATAGATGGGCGCAGCGCCCAGACTGGCTGGTCAACCGCCGAGCCGCCCGCAGCCTCACGCTCTGCTGTCATCTTGATGAGTCACCCACGTGCGTGCCACGCCACACCAGTGTGAGCGGCGCATGTCGCACTAGGCTGCTATTTTAATGATGATCTGGCGGAGGAGACTGTGACATGAGGTTGCTTGCTGACGTCGCTTTACAGATGGAAATGGGGGCAAAGCCTGTAGGCAGGCAGGAATGCAGGGGGGCACAAACAACTATGACATGCGCGGTGCCCACCAAGGGGCGCAGCTCGCCTGGTGGGAATGCAACGTCCCCAGTAGCGCGCCGCCCCAACGCGAGGCAAATCGGCCCTGAGCCTGGCAAAACGCCCAGACGCCTGGCAACCACCCCAAACGGGAAGGCAAAGCGGCTCGCTGGTGCGGGGGCAAGCGCTGCACGCGGGGCGTGTCGTGCACGCAGCTCCGACGGGCGGCGCGCGCGCTGCCACTCAGAGGCAACAGCGGCACCCTTGAAGCTACAGGATTGGGTGGTGGATTCGAGGCCTGAGAGCCCAAGCAAGGAACTGCCTGCACACACAGAAGGCGTCTAGAGAGTACAAAAAACAACAACAGCACACTCAGGGGCTGAACATCACCGGCGCACGAGCCGGTGGGGTGTGCCTCCCAGCGGGCGGTCAGGAGCGGGGGCGAGCGGGCCTGGCCGGCCCCTCACCCCTCGTCGGCCGCGCCGCCCGCCCACATGGCCCACATGGCCCCCGCGCCCGCGTCCCCTTCCTCCTCCCCAGGCATTGGCAGCAGCGGCACACCGTCGTCCGCGTCGGCGTCTGCAGCACCACCAGCGCCAGCGCCGCCGCCACCACCGCCGCCGACCGCGTTGCCCAGCATCGCCGCCACCGCGCCCGCGGCCGCCGCGCCGCCGCCACCGCCGTTCCCGCCGCCCTGCCCCGCCTGGCCGC